TGACATATTGAAAAATTATTTAGTAAAAGCATCACCGAGACCAAGATGTCTAACAAGCTATGTTTCAGAACTACGAAGGCACATGGGTCTTCGAACACTTCATTTAGTTCACGATTGTTATAACTGTTGCATCTTTCTCTTCACGACAGCAACATTGGGAAGGCAATATATAACCTCAGCTGATACTCGTGTTCCAAGTGTAGTATGCTGGTACTCAAAATCAAATGGTTTACAATCAGATTAGTCATAACCGAGGTTTAGGAAAATGATCTTACAATCTCTTCAGCGAACTGGGATAAGTTTGAATAAGTTAGAGAAGGAATTGGTCAAGCGTAGTAGTGTTCACACTCAACTGTCGGTTTATGGTGTAATTTTGACACTGATACTTACTGCATGGCAGAGCCACAGTTTCTGCCCACTGTCCTCATGTAGCTGGTGTATCAGATTGTTGTGGAAAATACGCTGACTTGTGTCGAAGGATCTCCAATTCTCGAGGTTTGAAGAATCGCTGGAAGATGCGCCTTCGGCGGTAGACGCCTTCGGGTCAACGCCTTCGGCGATGCGGAAGAGTGCATTCGGCGGAAGAGTGAATCCTTCATAACTTTCTCAATTCGCAACGCCTTGACTTGGTTAGGGTCTTGTTGGAAAGAACTCGACGCGCTGGTTCTAACGAGCCCAAGAACGCCTGGAACGGATGAGGACGCAAGGAGTTATGACTGTCGAAAGATGCGAAGGAGAGCGCCTACGGATAGGCGGAAGGAGTTCGAGGTTGGCGGGAAGTCCGCCGGGAAATCCGCCTTCGGCCCTAGATGTTCGCCTTCGGGTCAGCGCCTTCGGCGATGCGGGAGAGTGCATTCGGCGGAAGAGTGAATCCCTCATAACTTTCTCAATTCGCAACGCCTCGACTTGATTAGGGTCTCGTTGGAAAGAACTCGATGCGATGATTCTAACGAGTCCAAGAACGCCACGAACTGATGAGGACTCCGGGAGTTATGAAGGTCGCAAGATACTCAGCTTCTCGCCTACGAGTAGGCGAGGAAAGTTTGTCCTATGCGCGGACGAGAGAAGTCCGCCTACGCGTAGGCGCTTCGGCGTCGGCGGGAAATCCGCCTTCGGCCCTAGAAATGCGACTTCGGAGTTGGAACTTGTACGGCGCCTTCGGCGCCAGCGCAACAGCGCGGACGGACGCGGACGCCTGCGAGTAGGCGGCTTACAACGCGGATGCGGACGCCTGCGAGTGCATAGGCAAACGCCTTTGGCGGAAGAGTAAAACCGTCATAACTTTCTCAATCTTAACGGTTTGACTTAGTTAGGGTATTGTTGGAAAGAACTCGCGACGCTCGTTCCAACGAGACCAAGAACTCTTCAAACGGCAAGGCGTCACTGAGTTATGAGCGTCAAAAGCGGCTGTCATGGTTAGGAGAGAGGCCTTCGGCGTTAACATATAGAGGGGCCTTCGGCGTTAACAATTAGAGGGGCCTTTGGCCCAAGGCGGCTTGCGACGCGGACGCGGACGCCTGCGAGTAGGCGGCTTGCGTGTAGGACGCGTGGGACCCACAGTCCTCGGATTTTGGAGAAGGAATTTTGGCATAGGTTCAGAGATCTTGCGGGGCCAATATCTTTGCGATGGACTGTCGGATGGATCTGAAATTTTGTGGGGCCGTTGATCTCAGCCGGCCACGCATGCCTGCAAATTTTCAGCCTCAGATCTTGGATGGAAAGGCGCTGGCGGCTCTGTACAGTAGGCTTAGGATTCAGATTTAGGGTTAGGGTTAGATTTAGGTTGTAAGTTAGAGGGGAAGGCAGCCGCCGACTCCTCAGGTGTAGGATATGTTGCGGCTCGCACCATGGCATTGCAGTGTAGTGTTAGTTAGGACTTAGAAGGTATAAAGTAGTTCAAGGAGTCTTGCCTTGTGATTTTTCCCAACATCAGAAGTGCAGATCAGGAACTCATTTTCTCTGCGTGTTTGTGTCCTTAGTTCTGTCACCACGCAAGAGGAGCTACAACTTGGCGTTCCGCATTTTGTAGCTGAAGGCCTTCGGCCGAATGTTCAGAGCTAGTACATTGGTTAGAGACTTGAGTAGTTCGGATCTACACCTGCGGGTGATTGCCGATGCTCAGAGCCAGTGACTAGTTAGATACTTGAATAGTTTTGCCCCTACACCTTCGAGTGTTTGTTCCTGATTGTACTCCTTCGGGATTTTTCCCCTGAATGCCAAAGTGAAGTTTTGCTACTTCGTGTAGGCCTTGGTTGTAAATTCAGGTTACGCTGCAGCAGGTGCCTTTGGGGTAACCCCTGTAGTATTTCTGGGAATGACAAGTGCCTAAGAATTCAAACTCTTCAATAGACTGTTATGGTGTGTTACTGGAATGTTTCTCAGTGAGTCTTTCAGTGCGGACCTGTGTTCTCTGCGCGTTTTGTGAGTTGAGAGTGTTGTTCACCGCGTATGAGTGACTTCGATCCGAAGTAGGTAGTCCAAACCGGGTTTCCTACGCTAGCAGCAAGCTAGTGGAAGCGTTGTAAAAGCCGGAGTTGGGAGTCACTACCCGCAGCTTCGCTGAGTGTACTCTTGAGAGACCTTCCCCCTGAAATCTTGAGTAGAGGTCCTAACGGATCTCTGGGTTGTGTTTCTGTAGTTTCAGGTGTGTGTGTGTGTGTGTGTGTTACGCTGCACTCTGCGACCTCCGAGTGCGCTCCGAGTGGACACTTGCAGTATTTCTGGGAGTGACAATCGCCTGAGAATTCAAACTCCTCAATAGTCTGTTAAACGTGACACTTTGTACCCTGTGTGTTCCTCTGTACCTGTGGGTTTGACCTTTCTACCACTATATTGCAGTTTTAGCCTTTAGTGGGTTATTACACCACAAGTGACAGATATGCAGAAACTTTTCTGTTCGAGTTTCTATTTATACTTTTACAAAAACTATTTGGATGTCTGTATTTTGTTTGTTGCTGTTGTCGACCATCCTCGATGATTTGCAGTTCATAATCTGGAGAGCTTTTCTCCTGAATATTAGAACTTGCCTTGTCTCCAGATTTGCCTTGCCTTGATTTGGTGTTTGCCTTGCCTTGGCAACTTTCTACAAATCAGATCCAACAGATTTCATCCTACACAATTTAACTCATCATTGATGAGTGATTTTAGATTTTATGATCTCAGATAATACATGCGACATGTTCTATAATGTGAGAAGAGAATTGTGTTAAACAACCGCAGTTTTTGTCATGACCTACTTGCAGTAACTTGACTCTATTGGTACAATATAACCAGAAGTGAGGACTAGACATTGCTCGCAGCACAGACTGCTCGCGGACAGATCGGCTGGAACATCGTATACATAAGAGCTATAATAATAGATATCTAGGGACATCAACATCGTGAGTTACTATTAATCTTATATTTTTTAAACCACATATTCGGCCCTAATACTGATTCAAAGTAGCACCTGACGATTGCCGCACTCAAGTACAATGTCTGCGGAAACTCGTCGTCTATATCACTGTATCTTATTATATCACTGTAAAATCACTGTCTACATGAAGTCAAGGTACATTTGATTTTTTTTTCCCATATAATCCACTACAGGAGAACAACGTGGTGGGTCATTGACTTTGATGACGACAGTCAGGGCTGCAAGATGTTGGTAAGAATTTCGATAAACGTGGGTCATGTCAAATAATATTCATCCTAGACTAAAAATTCATCCGAATGCATGCAGTGGCATCGAGCTGCGGCGTGGGCTCTCTTCTGTCTTCTGGAGAAGCCATTCGGTAAACGAAGACATACTTCACACAGCTTTCACATACCCACTCAGCCATGAACACAGTCTTCTTTAGCAGTTTCCAGATCCTGCCCTGATTCTATCACCATCGATGGCCAAGTATGTATCAGCCGAAGTGTCTCACCACTCAGCATCACTGTGATGCTGAGTTGTACCCGAACAACGTCCTGAAGTTGTTCGGGTAATACTTGTTTATGCATATTGTTGTAGTACACTTCTGTATACGACTTGAACCGCACAAGGCCTTTCGCCTCATTAACCATAATCGTAATCTTTTGCTTGAATGTATCCAAGTTCCATGTCGTAGACTGGAGGGCATCGAGAACACTTAAGATGACGTATTATAGCTCCAGACAGAAGATTTTCGCGTGTTATACAGCATCGATTGGTCCTCGAGTGCCAGTTGAGGATCCAGTTTTCCAAAACGATCATGGTTGCGTGTGTTTCTACTTAAACTTACAAGTTAGAACTGAAGGACACGGTAAGACTGGGACGGGAAGCCGAAAAAATTAAGATTGAAATTCTTGCAAGGTTGAGATTTTCAAAGAGGATGCAAGGAAAAGTAGTCGAAAGACAGGATAGGTCCGCATTGGATGAACAGTTAAATGATCAGCGTCAATCAGCGCATCCACTCATCACCCAGCTCGACTACAATCATCACCCGGACTTAAGTTGAACTCCACGACTGTCATTCCACCTTCGAGTGAGGAGAAAAATATACCCTTTTCCTTGGTCAAATCTGCGGACCCTGTCCAGAGTAGCAGACGAAGGCTGCTTGCGTCTATCAGGCCCTGGTTGCAGATGTCCTTCTATCATGGATGCTGTAATCCTTTCAGATTACAGCATCTGCATCCAAGGATCCTTTCAGATCCTTGGAGGCCAAATACAAAGCTCTCTTGGTCACTTCATGACACTTTTCTGGTAGAGACGGCTTCACTGCATTGCCTCCAACTATGTTCCAAGGTCTCCAGTTATGACTGGTGGATTGAACAAATTATATCACACTTGAAGACTGTTTTCATCATCTTATAAAACTCACTTTCACTGGACAAAACGTTTCCTTGAACAAAAGTAGTGGGCGACCAAGTATAGAATCTGTGAACTGTAAGTGACTTTGCCTTGAGAAATTAGTTCATATGAAATCATCATAGTTATTTATTTCTGCAAGTATATGCGGAATAAATATTCATTTTTCCATCAGTAACTCAACTCTCGGTCCGGTAAATGTATGCATTGCAAAGACCATGCACAACGGTTTTATTGACTATATGCAGGCCGGATCAGAAGGCGGTACATCTGATCCGTGCATGGTTTATTTCCACATACAGAAGAAACAGCCTGAGCAGCCACACACAGTACTACACATTAAGCTGCCAAAGCTGCACCTCGCGACAGAAAGTAAGGGGAGGCAGACAAAAGGACATTTAGTGCTCGAAGACGACACTGCAGGAGGGTTCGTTCAACTTCTAGAGTTGTTCTGCATTATCATCAAAGGGCCATTATATCGATGAAGTTGCAACATATGAGTTGCCAGCAACGAGCAACTTCTCCTCAGTTTTGGAAGTGTAAGTAGCTCCTTGCGCCGTGAGCCAGGCCACCTTTTCTGAGTCGGGTACTTTCGTGAGCTGCTCGTAGAGCTCCGTTGCGTTGTCGTTCATGAGCACCCAGTTACCTTCACCAGAGTTGAACACTACAGCGTTTGGATCCATAAGCTTTTTGCAACCGGAAGAGCCGTTGGTGCTTGCCAGCTGCTTGTCATCAGAAAGATCATCCAAAACCTGACTGCGCTGACAAATAGTGTTCCAGCGAGCACCAGTAAACTTATTACCAGAAACGCAGAAATCGCCATTATAGCGTCCCACTTCGGTGGTACAAGAGCCACCTGTATATAGGCGGGTCACTATAGAGGTGGACGACTTGCTGATTTGAGCTGAAGGTGTCGATGGATCGACTTGTATGCAGGATCCCTCAGCGAAATTCAACCATCCCTTAGATAATCCACAACAATTTGCTTCCGACCAAAACCAAATGTCTACTGCTCCACTGGCTTGCAACCTCGACAACGCCAGCACCAAGGCAGCCAATAGAATAGATGGAATTCTTCTTCTCAAATTCGTCATACTTTCCATGATTTGCAGTCAACTGATAGCGCCTGGTCGGCGCAGCAGACAACCCGGAAATGCATGTCAAGAAATTCAGCAGACGGAAGTCATGCACTTTCACCGACGATAGAAATCGTTTGAGACTTCTCTAGAAATCAGCAAATAATGTACTGGCGAGCTGAACTGACTCTAATCATACTATGAACTCGGAGCACACTTACCGTGCAGTGGATTACTCGAAGCAGCTAGCTGGGGTCGTATTCTGATTCTCAGACTGATCGTTGTTGAGATGATGAGGGTTCATACAAAGTATGCGACCTTTTATAGTGGCTCTGACATGTCTTTCAATAGCTTAAACAAATATAAAAGCTTACCTGCCACAAACTTAGGCTTTATCTTCATATGTAAGAAGTAGAATCCGATTTTTGACGGCGTAAGACTACTAGCGGGAGGACCAGCTACTGGCAAGGTCTCAATGCTATACACTTTAATTCGCAGGTATGTTTCCGAATTACCAAGGTACATGGATCTTACAATATGACGTCTAGTTCACGATTGTTATATAGTACCTGTTCCATCTTTGTCATCACGAGAGCAACATTTGGAAGGCAATATATAGCCTCAGCTGATACTCGTGTTCCAAGTTTAGTATGCTGGTACTCAAAGACAAATGGTTTGGAATCAGCAAAGACATAAGAATAGTGGCAGTTAAGAGCTCACACGTTGTCACCTCCTTTCAGGTATTCGTATTGCCAATTTTTTTACACCACGAGTAAGTACTTCGACCACATTTTATGTAACTATGTACTTAAGAGTCATATATGCATATGTTAGTATGCTTTTATAGTTTTCTCGTCACTTGTTATGTAATCGATCTGATGGTCTTGTAATCCATTTTCTTTTGCTTGCCTCGTGTGGAAGCATAAATTGCGCTGAACCTACGAAGTATAATATATGCAATTCGAACAAGCCTTGACACAATGAATGTTGAATGAGATGTGGACCTTTTTCGTAAACCTCCTTAAGTAAATTGCACCTTGTTTGAGCATTGATAAGTTCAATTTTGAATTACAATTTAACCCTTGTACTTTTTGGATGAGAGTTGATGAAGGGCAAAAGAAGTTCTCTTATGTAACACTGGTATCTAATCTTGATAGGAACTTACTTGAAGATGAAGCACAAGTCTAAAGATGAGAGATATGTATTTTATTTCTATTTTCTCTTGTATAGATCTTACCAACAAGTGCAAGGAGTTAAGATCTAAGATTTCATTATTATTTATTATACTTTTAATGGATTGATGATATAACAAATAATTTCACAAGCAAATAGATTGTCAAAGTGTTGTTCACAGCTGATACACTAACTTGCACACCCAATCCTTACTTCATAAGTATGTATTTATGAAGTAAGGATTGCTCACATGTTGCTTGCAACTAACATATGGCTCTTTTAATGTGCTACTCTACTCTAAGTAGGTCAAATTTACAATATTTATTTTTAGAAAATAGAAGTTAGTTGATAATTACCATATGTTGTTAGGATAAAATTTTAGAGGTTATAAATAAAAAGATATAGAATAATCTCTCAAAAAAGTTTAAAGAGTTCATTGTGTGAAGATTTATTTTAGCAATATAAGTATAACTTACATGATCTCTTTTGGAATATTGATGAGTCTTCATAATTGCATGATGAGTGGAGAGTTTGTGTAAAAGTGTGTTTGGAATATGATCAAGTTGAGAAATATTTTTCTTTTAAAGCCATGATGAAACATCAAAAAGCCATTTGAGATAAATATGTATGAAAATCAGCCCATAGTTCACAGTATAAGCTGAAGTGAGTTTCAATGATGAGAATATTATCTTCTAAGCCATGTTAGTGACTAGAGGTTTTACACAAGACGTGAATTATGAGAAAGTTTTCTCACTTGTAGCAAATTATATTACAATTTGTTAGTATGTGCATTTGTTGCAATATTTCGTTTTGTTATGTATCCAAGAGGAGTAAATTTACATGTGACTACCATTGGACTTTTAGAAGAACTTTAAAAAATATTTAATTAGTAGATTGCAAAAATCATTATATGGATTGAAAAAAACTACTAAACAATCAAATGCAAGATTTGATAAGTTTATAAAAGCACAAGATTTTTCTTGGATTGTTTTTGATCCTTGTGTAAACATAATAAAGATGAATAATAAAATATTCAATCTTATTATTCTATTACTTGACGTGAATGACATGCTCATCGTGGTGAAGAATCAATTCGACTTTGACATATGCCAGAACTAGTTGAACTTTACATTCTATATGAAGAATTTGGGTTATAAAGGAATATGGACTCCTTTGACACCACATTTTAAACTTTCTGAATCTCAATGTCCAACCAAGATCATTAAGAAAGAAAAGGTTTCATGTTTTTCCCATGACAAAGCTGTGTGGAGTTTAATGTATTTGATGTTGTGCACAAGGCTTGCTTTTGCTCTAGCAATGAGCGAGGTGAGCAAGTATTTGTCAAATCAAAGCAGGATACACCAAGAAGGAGTAAAATGAATTTTCAGGCATTTGAAGACTACTTAGGATTATGGTTTATAAGATAATATAAAATCCTTGTTAGACTACATTGATGCTAACTCTTAACAAGATCTGAATTAAAGCAGATCCACAATTGAGTAAATGTTTACACTTGATTGTGGATAAATAACTTGAAGATTTATCTTGGGAAGTGCGTAGCAAAATATACAACAAAAATTGAGTATGTAATGGCTGAAAGAATATTTATTTGGTTGAATAAACTTATCATTTTATATGGGTTTAAAATAGAAGGTTGTTAATCTTTGTTGTAATAGCCAAAGTGCATTACATCTTGTTGCAAATCAAATGATGGACAGTAGATGTACACACATTGAGATCTGATATCATTTTATCAGACATGCATTCTCAGAAAACTATTATGCTAGTCAGTATTTACGGTAAATTCAATACAACTGATGCGATAATCAAAATATTACTTTGGAGAGTTTTAGTTAACATTGTGCTATTGTGCAAGTTTTGTACAATAAGCACAAGTAGAATTTACTAGCATTTTTAGCTAATTTTAAATACATTTTACTTTGTACTATTTTAGTAACGACTTAGTTCTAGTTTAAAAAGTAACCTTTTGTCAGGATTAATTCTAGTTTGTTTTGTAGCATAAATATATAAATTATGGACATTGTTGTTTACCTTGACATGAGTTAAGGGGGACATAGTTAGAATTAATTAAAGTCTCAAGTTAAATTCAAGTTTACATAACTCGATTTAGGATTATGGTTAGTTAACCTAATTAGGAATATTTCTTAGGTTTGGTTAATAGATTTATAGGAAGACGGGACATAGTTTGTCTAGAACATATATAATTTGTCATTGTAGATTTTGTGTTATATAAACTCTATCTTAGGATTAATTCCAGTTATTGATAACTATGGTTAAGAAGTTAAGTGTGGTTAGATTAGTTTTAAGTTAGGTTAGGTTAGATTAACTGTGCACCTTATTTCTTGTTGTATAGAAGAGAGAAGGAGACGATCACTATGTACAGTTGAGTTTTGCATTTTGAGACTGAATAAAAAGGAGGAGAGCTTGGTTATGAAAGCCTTGTATACATCTATGCTTTAGTGAAGTTTCTGCTCTTGCTCATGGACGTAGTTTGTGGAAAATGAATCACAATATCTTGATGTTGTGATTGTTGTGAGTGCTAATTGATCTGGATGGTTGGGACTTTCAATTGGTATTAGAGATTGTTCATGCACGTAGATTTATGATTTCGAGAGTTTTGGAGACCAGGAAGATGTGGAAGTGTGGTAACCCATTTTTTTGTTATTGTGCGGAATTTAAACATTTTTGGAAAACAGGTACCGCAGCAGCAACTGTAAATAGAAATCGGTACACTAAAATAGAGTAGCTCACGCTTGCGTCTATCAAACCCTGGTTGCAGATGTCCTTCTATCACGGATGCTGTAATCCTTTCAGATTACAACATCTGCATCCAAGTATCCTTTCAGATCCTTGGAGGCCAAATACAAAGCCCTCTTGGTCACTTCATGACACTTTCTGGTAGAGACGGCTTCACTGCATTGCCTCCAACTATGTTCCAAGGTCTCCAGTTATGACTGGTGGATTGAACAAATTATATCACACTTGAAGACTGTTTTCATCATCTTATAACACTCACTATCACTGGACAAAACGTTTCCTTGAACAAAAGTAGTGGGCGACCAAGTATAGAATCTGTGAACTGTAAGTGACTTTGCCTTGAGAAATTAATTCATATGAAATCATCATAGTTATTTATTTCTGCAAGTATATGCGGAATAAAAATTCATTTTTCCATCAGTAACTCAACTCTCGGTCCGGTAAATGTATGCATTGCAAAGACCATGCACAACGGTTTTATTGACTATATGCAGGCCGGATCAGAAGGCGGTACATCTGATCCGTGCCTGGTTTATTTCCACATACAGAAGAAACAACCTGAGCAGCCACACACAGTACTACACATTAAGCTGCCAAAGCTGCGCCTCGCGACAGAAAGTAAGGGGAGGCAGACAAAAGGACATTTAGTGCTCGAAGACGACACTGCAGGAGGGTTCGTTCAACTTCTAGAGTTGTTTTTCATTATCATCAAAGGGCCATCATATCGATGAAGTTGCAACATATGAGTTGCCAGCAACGAGCAACTTCTCCTCAGTTTTGGAAGTGTAAGTAGCTCCTTGCGCCGTGAGCCAGGCCACCTTTTCTGTGAAGTTTCAGCTCTTGTTCGTGGACTTAGACTGTGGAAGGTAAATCACGTTACCTTGGTTTTGTGATTGTTGTGCAAGCTGATCGATCTGGATGTTTGGGCCTTTTACTTTGTTGTTTAAATGAATGTAGCCTAAGAGTGGCAAATCGGATATCTAAGTGTGATTTTCTTCATTATGAATTTATAGATTCTTGCAAAAAAATGTGATCCATTCTTACACATGCATAACGTTAACAACCATTAGAGAATTTTGCCTGACCTCTAACCATTTCATTATTTGCAAATACTTTTTGCAAATTTTTAATCATCAATAGTCAAATTTCAGCACCAAATTTTGAAGCTTGTTCTTGTACTGGTGTAAAGAACTCTTTACGTTAAAATTTTTCTGTCTTCATTTGTGTAGGTCTAGATGTATTTCAAAAAGTGTTTGATGATCACCATGTGTGATTCCAGTACCACTCAAAATTTATTGAGCAATTGCGAGTGTTTTAAAAAATGTGAATGAATTTCTTTATCACTTTATTTTGTACTCAATCTTTCAAAACTTGTTTGAACATATCTAAGGCTTTTGGTTCACTCG